AGTAAAGAGATGACGCGGCCTGAGGGTCCATCCAATATTATATTAATATTATATTACTTGAGTCCCTCTCAAGTGAAGAGATGACGCGGCCTGAGGGTCCATCCAATATTATATTACTTTTATATTACTTGAGTCCCTCTCAAGTAAAGAGATGACGCGGCCTGAGGGTCCATCAAATATACTATTTTATTACTTGAGTCCTCTCAAGTAAAGAGATGACGCGGCCTGAGGGTCCATCCAATATTATATTACTTTTATATTACTTGAGTCCCTCTCAAGTAAAGAGATGACGCGGCCTGAGGGTCCATCCAGTATTATATCACTTTTATATTACTTGAGTCCCTCTCAAGTAAAGAGATTACGCGGCCTGAGGGTCCATCCAATATTATATTACTTTTATATTACTTGAGTCCCTCTCAAGTAAAGAGATGACGCGGCCTGAGGGTCCATCCAGTATTATATTACTTTTATATTACTTGAGTCCCTCTCAAGTAAAGAGATTACGCGGCCTGAGGGTCCATCCAATATTATGTTACTTTTATATTACTTGAGTCCCTCTCAAATAAAGAAATTAGGCGGCCTGAGGGTCCATCCCGTGCTGGAGCATGTTGAGCAGCACCTGCGAGGGGTTGGGGGGGGGAGGGGGAGGGGGGGGAGGGGGGCGGAGTCAGGGACTTGAGCCGCCGCGGCCTCACCGCACGCGCCGCGCCTGCACGTGCCCCTGCGGCTGCATGAAGCCGCCCATCACTCCGAACGAGGCGAAGAGCTCGCGGCCAACGGTCGCCATGCCAGGGATGATGGTGTGGTACGGCCGCTTGCCCGGCTCGACGCTGTTCGGGTGGCCCTCGGTGAGGAGGAAGTTTGCGCCCCGGTTCTGCAGCGAGAAGCCGCACCTATGGGACATGTCTCGGACATGTCGTGCACGTGTCCTGGACATGTCGTACCCGGTTCTGCAGCGAGAAGCAGCACCCGCGCGGCACGAGCCCGGAGCCAAACCCCATGAAGTTGGAGTTGATGAAGGAGCAGGCGTTGCCCTGCCCGTCCACCGCGGTCATGTAGACCGTGTCGGTGCCC